CCTGTTGCATTTGTAGCACACCCATTTGTAGCACAAAACAGCGGTGGTGCATCGATTACTGAATGAACGCACAAATACCGCATGGTTATCTTCCATGTACTCAGTTGACGCCTTCTCAAATGCTGTGAAGGCGCATGTGAATCCCTTTTTTGGCGTAAAATGTTTTGTTCCACTCGCAAACGTTTTGCACAAAAAAACATTGTGCTTCGAAGTAGCGGCCATTAAGTGACCCCGCCACCTAGTATGAAGTTTCTCGCCAGTGGGCTTTGAGCCGATCGGTATGGGGAATGCGCCGTAGGAAACGCGATCCGAAAATCAAAACCCGCAGTAAAGAAGTATGAGAAAATTCAAAAATGAAAAATTTATGACAATGGGGGCGGATAGTCGTCGGTTTTGAAATCCTTACGACTCTATCGCGAGTGAAATTTCTCCATCGGAGAGCACTGCGGCGCGTGGTTGGATTTTTCAAGAGCGCGCTGCTACCCCTGGGAATTTAGGTAGAAGGCGAATCGTCCGTGCAGTGTATTTGGATACACTGTCATTTAACAATGCCTTAAAGGTTTGGAAGTATCCTCTACCTATCCTACCTTTTTTCTCTTTAGAATACCGTCGCGCATTGATCAATCAACGACCAAAATCGATTTGGGGTTGCGTTTCCATTCCCCAAACTTCCTCTGTTTTGTTTGTTTTCTCTTTTAAGAAGGATCAGGCATTCACCTCGATCTCTTGCTAAGAATAGAAAATAAACGACTCGGATGCCGAAACGCATGCACGGAATCATAACTGAGGCAACACTCACCTACTACTTCTTAGACAGTAGCGGGCGACCCCAGACCGAGTTTGAACCAGGTTCTGTCAATTAATTACGGTTTATCTTCTCAACGTATTCTGTCAGTGATAATGTAGGCCATCGGAAACGATAACCTGGGACCAGGCAGCGACGTATCCGAGTGATCAAGGCTGGCAGTTTACAGAAACGATAGGAACAATTACCTAACTTACCACTAAACCACGGGTATCCAGGTGCAGATACCGTGTTTTCAATCCACGGATTCCTCCTAGTGTTCCAAGGTATTTCTATGACATACTGAGGCAAAGAATAGCAAATATGACCATTTAGCACGGTTTCGTACTGTCGTGTGCAATATGGATGTGAAATTAGTAAATGAAAGTAGTAACAGTAGTGAGACATTTCATTCAGGCGACGAACATTTCCTTTTTTGTAGCGGCGGGGGGCCGCCATCTTTGAAGGAATACCGGTTATAAAATGCCACCCCTAAAAACCGCCTGAACGGCCGATCGTGACCATTGATGCATTACCCAACATTGCCGGAATACGTTGAAAACCACTGTCTGGTGCAGCCCAGAAAGCATCTGTTGCACGCATTAGCATTGGGACAATTATGTCTAGTCACCTGCTTTCTTAGGCGTGGCGAGGCACACCCCACACAGCCAATTGACTTATTGGATCCGGCCAGGTTCATCCAAGTGAACCTATTGCATGGCTGATCAAACTACCGATTTGGAATCTACGGGCAAGGTCCCAAAACGAAACCCTGCCTTGCCCATGGCCTTGTAGGTAGGACGTTTGAGTGGATGGCTCATTGTGGGCTGCCTCACGAGACACCGTCTTCCCGCCCGTGTCCATCCCTNGTGTCCATCACTCTTTCCCTTCTTGGAAAAGTAAGGACTAAATTTGCGCTACTAACAGCAATGGGTATACTGACCACAGCAACATCTGGTGTCCTTAGTCTTTGCTAAATGGGTCGACAAACCTCCGTTGTATCTTATCTTTTCCCCTTCAAGTACCGATAGCTTCATCTCAGGAACACATTAATTAGATCGTTTAGCTCGAGACAACTCAGTGGTTGAGGCGCGAACCTACTGACTGAAAAGATTGTGGTTCGAACCCAACCCGAGCATCTCGGCTGCACCTCTCTAGGCCTGAGCAATCTGAGCAATCTCGGCCCTTGTGCTTCCTCCGGTTGGCATGTCAGCTAGACACCGAAGGGGTGTTACGGCTGAACGGTTATTATTATCATTATCTTTCGACGGTTCTGCCTCAACTAATCCCGCAAAGATTACCCGACAATCAGAAGTGTTAGTTCTGATTATAGTGTAACAGATGGGTCGGTGCACGAATCTGCAAGGCTCGGGTCGCGTTTGCTAGCTTGAGAGACCTATGGTGTCAAAGCGGTACATCCCTGAATATCAAGGGATGTATGTATCGGGCTAGAATTCGGGTTTTTTGTATGTCTTTCCGATCAGAGGCGTTCGACTATCGTTGCCTCAGGACCATAGCTTTTGTGGTTTGATGTCGGCGCATCCGTAACTAGGTAATTAGAAAGCGAGTTTTCCTTTGTGCGACGGATACATCCACTGATGAATGTGTCCGTCACCAAAAAAACTGTTGGCTGGGCCATGTGTAGCGTATCCCGAAGCATCGTTTACCGAAGAGAGCTGTGTCCGTTCCCATTTGAGAGTGGCGTAAGCAGAGAGGTGGCAGAGGGATATGAAGGAGATTACTGAACGTCACGATAAGACTGGACCTTACCATGGTGTGACGGTTTACGCACCCCAGTGACCCATTGAGCTATACTATGGGGTGTCCCCGCAACACTCACACTCTCTCAAGACAGGTTGGCCAATGGTTAGAGGTCTGACGAACACAGTCTCCAGGTTGAGAGTTGAAGTATGTGGCGACTCGTTCCGTAGAAATGGTAATGCATTTGCGTTTATCGCCAAACACCGCTGCCCTGCGGTTAGACTTTTGAGTCAAAGGCTTTGGTTTAGGACCCTAATCGTCCTCCTGTCTAGGTGTGGGCGCCATGACAGTGCCGTGGCCCACGTACAACCGTGAACTGCACATATACATGTCACCGGCCGTTGCGTGGTGCCATCAGCCCAGTTGTCTTACTCTGCATACAGCAGGACGGGCAAACGAGAACAGGCTACTGCTGACGCCTCCCTTCGTTCTCTTTCACACCCTTTCACCTCTCCCCACCCCATGAATAACTCCTCCTGTAGATCTAGCACTTAGGAATGATGACCCCGTCCGTCTTGCATCGATTTTGCGTGCTACATCTGGCGCAGACATACTCAGGTATCTCCAACTCTTCAAGCTTCGACACCCAGTCTATTTGACCGCCTTCAATGTCTGGAATCTGAAACAAGCAGGACAACAAGCTGCTCTTGCTCTCACACTGAACTCGCCTGGCATTGATGTGTGTTGTGTCCCAGAAACAAGAATTCAAGATTCAAGCACCGATCGAGCTAACCGCTCTATCAGTTTCCACTCGCTTCCGGCTACACACCTCTGGTGATCCGGAGGCTGCTGTCCATTTCGACCACGCGCTCGTCCGAACTCGATTCTCCCTACTTTTCCAGGGCCGCGTAAGGTGCGAACAAATAGCTTGGCAACCGAAAGACTGGCAGATCCGGATGTTACATGAACCAGAATCGTCTTATAGAGTCTTCCAAATGATCCACCATCAGATCTGAACCCATATTGGAACGAGAACGCCACTTCTTTGCATAGTGCTGGGAATTTCGCCTGTGGCACGGCACCGCCAGACATACTCAAGCACTGGATATCATACCGAACGGTTGCACTGTTTAAATCTCGGAGAAATGCGACGAATTGTCAGACGTCAAGTGAATGTGAGCGCACAAGCTGACCGTTAAGTGTGGTGGACACAAAGTCAAAGAAATGGGGGAGGATCAGAAAGCCAGTAATGCCCGAAGATTATTTTTGTTGATCCGTGCGACCGGTCCCCGGAAGCTACCTGTGAGGGAAACCATCAAGGACTGGAATGGAGTGGACGTCTCGAGTAAAGAAGAAAGCCTCTACCGATGGGCTGAACACTTCGAACAACAATTGTTATGGCCACAAGCTAGCACCCATCTTGAGCCCACAGATGACGTAGAGCCCTGAACGGTGAACGTGAAACCGCCTACGTTCTCGGAGGTTTATGACTGCATATGTTCTCTCAAGCGCCTCTTAGCCTCTGGTCCGGATGGCCTCCCACCCTCAGTGTTCAAAGATGGGGTGAAGTCCTCAGTCAGCGCCTGTCTGATGTGGTTGCTTGCATTTGGGAAATGAAATTTGCCCCAGACAATTGGGGAGAGTCGATGATAGTGTCCATTTTTAAAAAAGGGGTATGGTAACCATAGGGGGATCAGCTTGGCTCAGGACGTAACGAGACTGTTGGCGTCACCGGTGCCTTGTTGCCTTATGGTGGCTCGTGAAACACTAACTCGAGAGCAGCAAGCGGGATTCCGGCCTGGTAGAGGTTGATTGACCAAATCTTCACACTGCGTCAAATACTAGAACAACGCCATACGTATAAGCGACCCACGATTCTAGTATTCCTGGATTTCCGAGGCGCATTTGACTCGGTGGCTCGGTCTGTTCTTCCTGAGACCTTGTCGATCTGGAATATGCAGACGACATCGTTCTCATGTTCGAAGAAGAGGAGAAGGCGCAAGTATTCTTGGATGAACTGACCAAAGTCATCCTGTCCTTTGGTATGCACTTTGCACCCACAGAGTGAGGTCATGCCGGTGGACGTGCAGTCGCTGAATACGCCACTTACAATCCAGGGAGAGGTACTGGAAGTTGTGGATCGTTTTACGTATAATAGAAGTTGTATTAGTTCTGATTGTAGTGTGACAGATGAGGTGAATGCACGAATCTGCAAGGCTCGGGTCGCGTTTGCTAACTTGAGACACCTATGGCGTCAGAATGGTTTATCCCCGAACCTGAAGGGACGTGTGTATCAAGCTACAGTACAGGCTGTTTTGTTGTATGGCTGTGAGACTTGGCCTATTCGAGCAGCAGAACTGAGACGTCTTCAGGTGTTCGACAATCGTTGTCTAAGAACCATGGCTCTTGTGGTTTGGTGTCGGCTAATCCGTAACGAGGCAATTAGAAAGCGTGTTTTCGGTTGTGCAGCAGGATGAAGAATGTATCCAGCACCAGGAGCTGCGTTGGTTGGGCCATGTATCGCGTATGCCTAACCATAAAAATGGAATATGGAGTTTTGGGTGTACTGGTGCAGGTCGCCTTCGAGGCTGGGGCCCCAGAAACCTCTAATGAAGAACTAGGTTCGTAGTTCTCGGGATCAGTTTAACAAAGAAGCGCGAGTACGAAGACTGTCACGTCACTGTCACTGTCTTGGCACTCGCACTTCAGTGTTAAACTGTTCTCGAGAACTTAGATCTTAGTTCCTCATGATGGGGGTCTGTGAGGTCCCAGCCTCGAGGGCTGTAAATGTTAAGTTTGTATGTGTTCATAGAATATCCTTCAGCTGTGGCGTTCTTTTAAGCGCACAACTGCCATGCAGCTTGGAGGGAAAACAAGAACTGAGATACTGTCAGGTCTGCACAGTTGCTTCCGGGAAGCCAGATTTGGGTTCGAACAACGAGCCTTCCGGTAAAGTGCTTCTCACCCTAGCCACTGGGTTATCTAGACCTCGTACTGGAGACACGAGCGCGACTAGTCCGAGTGACTGATTGTTTGGCGTATGAAGTGTCATACGACACCGAATCATTGATGATCGAAAGGTTACCATCCGGTAAACGCAGAATTTGACTGAATAATTATTTGTACCCATCTACCTATATATCGATTTTCAGGACTGTGCGATGTCAAGGAAAGCCTTCGGATGAACTTCCGTTCAGTGAACCCCTCCACTTTACTCAGTGCGGTTGAGTCAGTGGTAGAAGCGCTGGACTCTATTCGCTTGTGGGGTGATAAACACAGGTCGTAGTATGTTAGCACCTTTAAGTTTGCAATGCATAGTCGAAGCGACCACTTGCAAATAGTGACCCAGAGTGACGCTTGATGAGTGACCGTGAAAAGCACGCTATCTTTCGGTGAATGCCTTGATAGCTGTTTCGGTACTGGACTCATGCAGCGGAATGGCTTCAGAGTACCAAGTAAATCGGTTAACCGCAGTCTAGGAACATATCTAGAGGACGGCAGGGGAATTGCAACTTCTACGTGAATATGGGTAAGACGTGAGCCTACTTCTAGGAGACAGCCAATATGGATCTCTGCGTGTCTGTACACTCTTGCCGCAGGCCAGATAAGCCTAGGATATTTTAACATACCAAGCCAAAAGTGCTCGCCAGAAACGGGCTTATTAGTGGCGTAGATTCAGGAATGGACAACACCCGGAAATGCGTTAAGGCGAAGCGGCAAGGCGAAATCGAGACAACCGTTGAAGGGAAGCCTAAAGAGACGCTTAATTTGATTATGCCCATAGGCTTTAACCACAGCTGCCCTACGTGAGAACAACGGAGCTGGGCATCTGATTGTTTGGTAGCAACGGCTTGGAGGTGGATTCTAATGAGTGGTCGTCACAGAGGCAGTCACCGAAGACCTTGATAAAACATCCACAACATTATTGTCTTTTCCTTATGTTGATTGGGAGTCTGGTGACGAAACTGAGGTACCGGACTTCTCATGGGGATCGCCGTTTCAAACTGCTTCGGAAAGTATGGTTGAAAGGTTCTTGATCGCTGAAGTTCGGAGGCCACGAGGAAGCTGTTGAACGTTAATAGTAACAAACATCGTCTCCGTTTTCTTTGCTTTTCAGTTTCATCTTCGCCCTTATGGCCTTGATATTTGGAGGAATTGAGGGGTAAGCTGTCCCATTTCTCCTTCGTGTTGCGTTCCTTTTATTCATTGAGCAAGTTTGCAGAGTTCAGTGTCACTGAGCTTTTCACTGCTGTCTGTTTTCTACCAGATGTCGTGGCTTGACATCAGTCATCCTTTCGTTTCCATAGTTGTGAGTTGATGTCTACAGACGGGCCGCCATCCACATGGGAATTTACTCTCATCAGGACAACCTTTTCATTTTGCATGAAACATTTCAGAAAGAATTCGGCTTTTCTGTGAAAGTTGCAGTTCAGTAACTCGACTGGGGGAGTGGGAATGCAGATGCCACTTCTGTGAAAATCACATTTTACCACGTTTTCATCATCGTTGATAAGGCTTGGTGCAAATGATCAGATCTTAGAGGGTATTGTGGACCGCAAGCAAAATAAACGAACCAATAATTTCTAGTGGATTGTTAACAACTTTTGATGGCAGCAGTACTTTGGCACTTTGCAATGTATATGTGTTCCGGGCGTGTCTATCAAAATTATTGGTGTATGTATCCCGCTGCACTGGATAATTCGTCAGGTCACGTTTACATATGCAACCTTTGAAGTTTATAGCATGACTGCTGGGTCATACAATGAGATTGCTGAAAACAAGCAACCGGTCCAAGGCCTAACGATAGTGAAGGCTTTGCATTCCTTAAGCTGGGTCCACGAATGACTAGACATTGTTAAACCCAAAACGTAGTCTTTAATCTGTTGGGATGTTTTTTTCCGGTGAATATTCGTTTGTAGACGGACATTATCATTGTGGCTGTCATGTTCTCTGCAGGTTTTTTGATTGGGTGCTTGAAAGCAGATGCTTATGCAGTGGTTCTTCTTTTATGGTCGTCACTGCGGTTACATTATGCCCCAGCTTATGACCGTCACGAAGAGACTGAACTTTGCCGTGGTGTGACGGTTTGCGTGTCTCCGCGACCCATTGAACTGTACTGGGGATGTCATTGCGACATGTATAGAGTCTCTTGCACGAAGTTTGTTGATGGCTAGAGGTCTGAAGTACACAGTCTCCTGGCCCTCCACGTTGGGGCTTGGAACATGTGTGGCGACTGGTTCTATAAAAATGGTAAGGCACTCGCGTTCCCGCCAAACACCGCTGCATTGCGGTCAGGCTTTTGAGCCAAAGGCTTTGTTTGAGGATCTTAATCGTCTTCCTTCCTGGGCCTGGGCGCCCCGACAGTATCCTAGCCCACGTACAAACACGACACTTACAACTAACGATGGTCGCACACCACATCAACCATCACGTGGTGTCACCATCACCTTACTTGCTTGTACAGTATGGCGTGCAGCAGAAAACAGGCCATCACTGACGTTTCTTTCTGCTCCACATTCCCCCTTCATCCACAGCATTAACTCTCCATGTGCAGCCAGCAGTTAGGATTGATGACTCCTTTCGTTATGCATCGGTTTTGCCAGCAAAATCTGCGCTTCATCCGGCGCCGACATCCTCAGACAGCTCGAAATTAATCTTCAAGAATCGACACCCAGTCTATTTGGCTTCTTTTAATGTTTGCACTCTGAAGCAAGCAGGACTGCAAGCCGTTCTTGCTCTCATATTGGAATCCTTTGACACCGATGTGTGGTGTGTATCAGAAATAGGAATTCAAGATGTAAGCACAACGGTTGAGCTAACTGCCCCATCACTCTCCACTTGCTTCCGGCTGCGCACCTCTGGCGATCCAGAGATCCTAAATCATCGGGCGGAAGGATCATTGCTTGAATGAATACCCGTTGATAGTTGCCTACGTACGATTTGTCTGGCAAAATCTGTGAAACAGTCCCATAAGCTGTCTGTGTTTCCTGTCGACTTACGCTCTAACCGATTGTAGCTCTGAAATCATCAAAGACAAATTTTATGATGTCTTGAATGCCATGTTGCGGAGAGCGAGAAGCTCAGATATCGTTGTGGTTTCTGGAAGTATGGATGGACAAATCTACTGGTTTAGCGCACCTGAGACTCAATCAGATGGCTGGCATTGATTGGATTCGGTAAGTACGGCAGTCAGCTTTGTGCTGACGGCAGGCTATTTTTTTCAGAAATAACTCCCGAAATAGATGAGGTTGTCTGGCTACATGGTGTCGTTCAGTAGCGTGCCTGGTATGAACTCACATCGCCATCAGTAACGGATGGATAGGTTCAGTAGCTGAATGTCTGTTGGGTGGAATTCCACACGGATCCCGCTTTACCACTCGCAGTCAGGTGCTGCTATGGCCGAGACCCAACAGCCAATCATGACCCAGTATTGGTCGAACGCCGGTTGTCAATGGCGCATCCAGAAGGCGCCGAAATTTACAGGAAGTTATCGCCGCCTATACCATATATGAAGAGCTGTACAATTGTTCTTGACTTCGTTTTGTGCGCTACTATATGTTGTGCACCCTTGATGGCTGTCTTCACGTGAACGCTAATTTGCGATGCTCAGACCGAGAACCAAGCTTAGGAAAATACCGTTACCTCACTGTCGCTCGCTTTGGGCGGATTCCAGCTATGCGCTCGTCTTGAGTCGCTTCTTTCGTTTTTAGGACCACGTGGTGGGCGGAATAAATCGAATACAGTTTGGCCCAACAAATTACCAGACGTCACATGAAGCCTGGTGGACACGGAAACGGAAGAGGCCCAGAAAGCATGATGATAAGAAAACTGATGATCCTGTTTATGCGGAAATTGTTGGTCACCGCTAGACATGGGTTTTAGGCTCACAATTTAGTTGGACCGATTTTGGTTCGAATACATCCCAATTTCACGAGCTGACTGTGGGGGATCTTGCGGATCTGTCCCTTCGAGAACATGCGACGTCTTTAGGTGTACCAGTGGGCCACTGGATGGATCTGAGCAGATCGTTGGCTTAATAAGGCCAGAAAGCCTGGTTCGTTGGAAACGTTTAGTCTATATGCAGCTGTTTCTTTACTCCCCTCCGTTATCCTTGTTTGCTTCATGTACCACTAGCTTGATTTATAACCACTGTCCACTGCTACGCGCACCAATAGTCACTTGTTTCAATTGTGTGCATGTGCCACTTCATGGCCTTAGCGTTTGACCTACTAGGACCAGACCGTGTGGTAATTTACTGTCCATCAGTGTACAACGCTTGAGCGGCGTCCGGTTGCAGCTGGTTTTTTGTATACTCGAAACTAACATTCAGAACCGCGAATGAATACCAGACCAACGTGCAGCCTTAAGAACTGGACATTTGTGCTTATAACTTATCACTTACTGCCAATTCCCATTATTCGCAGCTTCTGGGGTTGAAAGACGATCCAGAGGGCCAGGTCATCGCCAAACCACCACAATAGAATGATTGCTTATTTTAATATCCCGACACTAGCCGATTCGGTAGCACTAAACTTTCTACTCGTTGAACCTCGGTGACTTGTGAACATCCACTGCACGCTCACCAATCTAATTTATATGTGGAGTGTATGGCAGTTTTCGTGCGAAGCCTTAGTAACGATCCTTATCACGCAGCAAGTAAGGTTAGTGGCCCGTGTAGAAAGTGCCCGTTTTTGGAACGAAAACATCATTAGCAAGTGCTAAACGATTCGAGTATTATTTCAGGTGAAGTCTTGCTATCCGACGTATATTGGTACTGATGTTTTCGTTCCAAAAACGGGCACTTTCTACACGGGCCACTAACCTTACTTGCTGCGTGTCCATTTTCGGGAGAATGGCACTTTTCCTGAACAAATCTCAATACATGTTCTTCGTGATAACTCAAGATGGGAGTACAACGCCAAGCTGTTCAAAGGACTTTTGAACGACATAGGGAGGTGCGGAACATAGTACTTTTTAACGAACAAATGAAAAGCAAGCTAGAACACTACGGGTGACTTTGTTCAGAAGTCTCAGCGTGGAAGTTGAATAGACGATAGATTGCAACTCAGGTTGAAGTGGTGAGAAATTCGGTCGCCTGGACCATCTCTAGCTAGATGCGGATGGTGGTGTCTGACGAAGACTGGCTACGAAATGAGTTCCAACGGCGTGGAATCAGAGGCTCAACTTGATGGTAGACTGTTTCATCTGGGCTAGTGCCAAGCGGCATTCTTTTTGTGGCCGAAATAGCCTTCGGAGGAACCAGAGACCGTTACGCGGTGTTTTGAAAGTCTTTCTCTCTAAAGATCCAGGTCTTAAAAATATTTCCTTGTGGGAGAAGTCCTTCGCTAACTGAACTCTATTTTCCGTGAAACCGAGTAAAACTATCTTATCGCTCTTTTGAATTACGAAAATTTCCTGAAGGACAGAAGATATCCTCGGGAATTTAGAAGCGGCGAGTGGTAGTGAAACACAAAACCCAACAGCATCAGACTCCGTGGAATTGATGGGTTAGTTGGTCGACTATTGGTCGTCGACAAACGTGACAGTTATCTGCTGCATCGAAATGTGTGGGAAAGTCAACAGCTGCACCCTTAGGAAAGGTCCGAACCAAATCCACCGTCGTGTCCGAGTTCTGTCTTTTGGGTAGGCTGACCAACATGACTAACATATATCCTCATCTAAAAGGAAGCATCTGTAACAAATATACATTTTCACCTAATAAAACTAGTCACAGTACAGCGCATATCCTTTTTTGGTCGTTTTGATTCCATTTTTACACAACCGTGCTGCGCCCATTTGGTTCGTGCTGGGATTCTACTGTTCAAGTCGTGCTTCCTTGTTTTTTCTCCAGTGGGGCCACTAATTCTCGCATCGTATTACTGAACAGCCATGGCGAAAAACTTGGGTATGCCGAAGGCCCTCACACTAATCAGTGGGTAAGTATTTTAAACTGATATCCATCTACGCCTGATTGAGTTGGAATAATTACGGCTTCACAGGTACCATCCTAAGGTTGTCACAGTAGGCTTTCATGTTCATTTGTCGTTGAGTTCTGTTCGGAGAGGTTTTTTGGCGTTAGTCTCATGTAGTCCTTCTTGATGACGTGTACTTGCAATGCACTTCGTTTGGTAAAATGTCTCAGTGACTAGGACTGTCCCTGCTATGAACCAACTTGAATAACTCTGATATTGTCAGGTAAGGTTGCGTTGTTGACTACACGCAACATGAATTTTGACGTCCTAACGCAGGGTTTTTGTAGTCAACATTTCATTAAGATAACAGATCTGTTTGCATAGGGAATCATGAACCAATTTTTTGCATAGATGTTTTGTGCGTTATTAGAATTGTTTGGACGGCAGTGAAATAAGAATGGCAGTTCGCATGATTGTCATGCGCCCTTGAGTAAACCCGATGGCACAGCTATCGCCGAGGTCTGATTAGGGCGGATTGCGGAGATTAACCACAGGTATCCATGTCTGGAGCTCACTTTTCATCACTTGTGCTATTTCGGATTTGGATAGTGTGAAAGAACCATTTCTTTCACTTCACGGTAGTCCGCCAAATCAGTGCTAATTTTGTTGATTTTCCAAACCGTGTTTGAAGCGCACAAGAGATGCTGCGTTGTTCGTCTGGAACATGGGTCAACTGCATAGGCTGCAGCCGTGTCTCATCAGTGTGCATCCTAAACAGTACATCCTGAGGTGTGAATTAGATTTAGTAAAGAAAATCATCACCAGTGATTTCATAACAGAACATCCAATGTGAGTAGATTATTTCCAAGGTATCGTTGCGTTCACCTCTGACGATAGCCCACCATTTTCTCTATTTAACTATTTGACGTAGACCCGACTCTTACTGCTTAATGTTTTTTTCATTGTTTTTAACTGGCTGCTTGGTTTACCCCGATACCAATAACATTGTTTTCTATTTTTATCTTATTTTCCAGTTGATCGGCATGAGTGAAGCGGTAAAGCGTTTATTCGATCTGATTGATGCAGCTATCCATGATGCAAATCTGCCCCCACAAACACCTATCACATATCTGGTAAGTCCACTCTCCGACTGACCTGGATTACAATTCTTTCTGGTTCCGGTAGCTGAATCAGTGTTAACCGTGGGTTTTGAGGATAAGGATTAATTTTATTCTATCCTTCAATTTTTTTTCAATGATCTTGATCAGTGTGTTCTCCCAATCCTTCAAGCCGTACGTGATGTTCCAACTACACTAATTTCTCCCTAAGAGAGGCCGCCACTGAGAGAGACTTTTCTCTCTCCTGGTTGTTTACGTTTTTTTTTCTGGCGGGGGAGGGATTGCTGACAGATCAGTGATTCAACAGTAATGCAGTAGATACAGCGTACCACAATTGTTGAGGTTGCTTAACTCATTTTGCAGAAAAATTCTCTTAGATTCGTCAAAACTACCATCATTCAAGTGGAAAACACCGAGCAATTTTAAGGCTCTGTCACATCTAGTCGTTTGCTCATTCCTTTGACAGTGAGCGGATAAGTGGGATGTTTCTGCGCTAATCTTTCAGATGTTTCGATGGTGTACGCACGCATAGACAGTTGTGTAGGGTTGTTTGAGAATCCGTATACATATTAATAGTGGTAGACCTTTCATGGAAAATTAAGTTTTTATACACTCGAATTGTAAATTGCAGCATAGTTCAACAATGAAAAGGGTACATCTAGGATTGCAATATTGCGTCATCCAGCTGGGAGTCATAGGCTCATGAAGAAAATGCGGTTACCGAGATGTCGCGCTTTTCAGGTGAGCACAATATTCAGCGCCGTCACGAAGATACTGGACGTTACCGTGGTGTGACGGTTTGCGCACCTCAGCGATCCATTGAGCTATACTGGAGAGTGTCCCGCGACATTCACAGAGTCTCTCATACCAGGTTGGTCAATGGTTAGAGGTCTGACGAACACAGTCTTCTGGCCCTCCAGGTTGGG